TGTCCCTGTGCTTGTTGGAGGCACCCTGTGGTGCCATGCTGGTTGCAGTAGGATGGCCTGGTCATTTATTTTCTTTCGGGATGGTTTGAAGTTGGTTTTGGCTTTTTGGAGTGTGGAAGGGCTTTAATCCTGTAAAGGGTCTCCCCACTTTACAGGATTAGAAATTGAGGCACAGAGGTGTTTCCACCCATGATCACACAGCTGGTAAGCAGTGCAGCCAGAATTCCAACCCAGATTTCGGAGGCAGCAGCAGGGAACCCATTCAGCCCTCTCACTTGGCGAAAGACAGGTAGTGGGAGGAGATTTTTCAAACTGTGCTCTCTGTTCTTCTGTAGTGCCCTTCATCCCAGGACAGTAGGAAACTCAGGAGGCTGTCCTATAGTGATCCAGCATCTCACCCAGCCGTTTCCCTGCATAAAAATAACACACACCACCTCCAGGGGAAGGCATGTGTCAGAAACTAGAGACGGAGAGGAGCTTGGGCAACCCTTCTTCGTCAGAGCTTGGAGAAGGGCCTGCTGTGGGGGCCCTGGGGCAGAGGGCAGACACACCTGCCTGTGGCTCCAGGCTCTTACCTCCTCTCTGACCCTGTCCTCAGCTGGTCTTATCACCAGGGACCCCATCCTGGACGTATGGAGCTCGTCTACAGGATTTAAGTGTGCTAACTGTTCCTGGCTAGTACCCTTGAAAAGCCACACCGATTTGTACTTCTACCAGCAGAACCTGAGCGCGCTCGTTGTTGCATGTTCTTGTCAATACTGGGCATTTGACTTGAAAAGTCTTTTTGAGCTGGGCTCGGTGGCTCAGCCTGTAATCCTGCGCTTTGGGAGGCTGAGGTGAGTGGATTGCCTGAGCCTGCAGGTTTGAGAACCGCCTGGGCAACTTGGCAAGACCTCATCTCTACAATTAATAAAAAAAAAAAATTAACTGGGCGTGGTAGTACGCGCCTGTAGTTCCAGATACTTGGAAGACTGAGGCGGAAGGATCTCCGGAGCCCAGCAGGTGGAGGCTGCGGTGGCCAGGAGCGGCCATTGCACTCCAGTCTGGGCGACAGAGTGAGACTCCAACTTAAAATAAATAAATAAATAAATAAAAAATCTTTTTGTTTATCAGTTCAGAGCAACTCATTAAGAAAAGACTCTTGAAGTGCCTAAGCTATGTAGCTTCTGAGTGGGACCATCAGGAAGAGAGGCTCTCTGGCTCAAGATAGGTTCTTAGGCTACGCAGAAAAACCTATGCTGTGTTCACTGCTGTTCCTGCGCTTGCTGGGGGAGACCTGTGGCGCTGTACTGGTTGCAGTAGGATGGCCTGGTCATTTATTTTCTTTCGGGATGGTTTGAAGTTGGTTTTGGCTTTTTGGAGTGTGGAAGGGCTGCTGCATCTCATAGCTCAAGGGGGCGCCGTTCACATAGCATAACGGGACTTGGTGACAGACTGAATGGGGTTTGCCCGGGAGAGGGACTAAGGTGGTGATGCCAAGGACCCTGGCTCTGGGGTCACAGGGTAAGTCTCGGGGTGACTGGCAGACCTTCCCTTCTGGGGAGGATGGCCTTGAGGGGAGGCGCGACCTCTCCCAAGCACATTCTGGACCTGCAGACCCCAGGTGGCTAGGGGCCTGGGAATGCCCGGAGCTGGGCTGGCCCAGCTTCGGAAAGGCCTGCCTGCCTCTAACCATTCCCATCCCAGTCCCATTCCAGAGCACCTCTCCCTGGGCCCAAAGCTGCCCCGCACGGCAGGCAAGGCTCCCTCGGGTCTCTGGCCCGTGTTGGGTTCAGCGGCCACCGTCTGCTTCTCTGAGCTCAGCTCCCTCTGCCCCACGCCTCGCCTGGCTGGGAGTAATGGCAGCTTCTCAAGTTCACAGGCAGGCCCAGACCTCACTCACTCCCCACTGTTGGGGAAGAATGCCCCGTTCTACTGGCTCACAGCTGTCTTCAGGCCGGACTGGAAAGGTCTGGGTGAAGGATGGGATTCCTCCAGCCTCAGAGGTGGGCACTGCTCCTTCTTCCCAGCCCTGTTGGTTGGGGACAGTACAGTGAGGGTCCTGACCTGCCACTCCAGCAGCTCAGAAGCGGCTCTTGGTCACCAAGGGGTTTCCTGCTCATGCTCCAATGACCCGCAAGGAAACCCCTGTCAGTCTCTGTGTTCTTACTAACTCAGGGTTACGGAGCTGTTTTCAGTGCTCCCCTCATGAGTGGAGGCCAAGCTGCGTCTCTTCAAGGTCTAGACTTTGTTTCCTGTTAGCAACTGTTAGCCTCTTGCCCATAAACATAGATTCTGCTCCTGACTGCAGCATTTCCAGGTTAGGGGATATCTCATGGAAATGCTTCCTTGTGACGTGCTGACTGGCCGCAAAGACCGGAGACCTGGAGCAATGTGGGCGGGGCGAAGGCAGACAGCCATGGGATGGGCTTCCCGGGAGCCTGGCCTTCCTCTGAGCTGAGGCCTAGAGCCTGACTCGGGTTCGCTCACTCCTTCGGACAGCAGTCAGTTGGGAGTGAGTATTCATTGCAGGGCACTGTTCAAAGCTTTGTCAACGGAAGGGGAGAGTTTAAGACCACCCGTCCTTGTCCCTCGCCCCCCGCCCAACATACACGCACCAGGCCCAAAGGAAGCTGCTGTGGGAGGGGGATTGCAGGGGTGGGAGCTGGGTAACTCTGATATGTGGGGAGAACCTTGAAGCACGATGTTCCTGACATCCTGAAGACATTGAGTCCATCCTGCTTTTATTGTAGGTAGGGAAACGGAGACCTTGAAATTAGGGGCGGCCCACCCTGATTCAGGCCCAGATCAGGGCAGAGCAGGACAGAGAGCCCTGACCTTCTCTCTTTATCCCAGTTCTTTCCCAAGGAGGGGCCTCTGTCACTCCTTAGCCCCTGGGGAGTGGGGTTGGGCGTTCCACTGCCCGACACCAGAGGCCAGAGCCAGAAGCCCTGTCCTTAAGCCACAGGCTACAGCGCAAAGCTGAGACTCACAGCCTGACTGGCTCGGGGAAGGTGGGCATCAGCAGGCAGGCTGCTCTCTACCACCTGATTGCTGGCTGTGCCCTCTGTTCCAGGACCCCCTCCCCTGGGCCCTCACTGGTTTCTCTGGGGTCAGTGAGTAGTTTCACCTTCTGCATTTGGCAGTGGGGCCTGCTCTGCCCCACGAGGAGCAGCAGGAACAGAAGCATAGCTGAGCAGGGTGGCTCCGTGGGCCCTGGACTGTTGAGCGCAAGGCCTTCCTGTTGGTCTGAAGAAGGCGCTGTTGAAAAGCACTGCAGCCTGGGTGAGGCCTGTGTGCTGCTTTCTGCTGGACCTCCACCCTGGCGCCAGGGAGAAGAGGGTCTTTCAAGCCCTTCCATCCTGTGGTTGAGTGCTCTCTCAAGGGCGGGGAACCTGGCAGGGCGACCGGAAGTTGGGTTGGAAACAACTTGCGTAGATTTCTCCCTTCTCTCTTTGTCCTACTGAAAAGCAGTCTGCAGTGGAAACCAGTGTCTGCCCACGTGCAAAGGCCTTCTGAGTTCTGAGTCAGGATGAGTTAGGCAGCCCGTCCCGTGTGTCCCTGCCAGTTGATGCTGCTCCCACCTGATGACTTGAGACTTCAAGAGGGACATTGCTCGCCCTGCGGGATGAGAGGCCGTGCAGTCGAGGGGAACGCTGTCTGGGGGCTCCGTCAACTTGGCTTGTATCCTGGCTCACCTGCCTCCTATCCGTGTGACCTCAGGCAACTCTTACAGGCCTGTTTCCTCACCCGTAATGGAGGAGTTCGTAATTCCTCCTTTACAGACTGGTTTTGCGATTTAGAGAAAATGCACGTACAACACTCTTATTAGTTTCCAAAGCTGTTGCAGCAAGCATCACAGACCAGGGAGCTTAGACAACAGACATGTATTTTCTCACAGTTTTGGAGGCTGGAAGTCAGATGAAGGTGTTGGCAAGTTTCTTTCTTTGGAGGCCTCTCTCCTTGGCTTGTAGATGGCTGTCTTCTCCCCGTGTCCTCACATGGTCATCCCTCTGTGTGTGTCTGGGTCCTAATCTCTAGTTCTTATGAGGATACCAGTCATATTGGATTAGGGCCCACTCTAATGACCCTGTTTTAACTTAAATAACTCTACAAAAGCCCTATGTCCAAATATAGTCACATGCTGACGTTCTGGAGGCTAGGGCTTCAACATACATATTTTGAGGGACACAGTTCATCCATAACAAATGCAAACATGATGGCCAGCCCCAAGGAGGTGTGCAGTAGAGAGTCATTTTTGTTAATTACTTTTTTAAAGTCAAAAAATATAGGCCAGGCTCGCTGGCTCAAACCTGTAATCCTAGCATTTTGGGAGGCCAAGGTGAGGGGATTGCTTTAGCCTACAGGTTCGAGAACCACCTGGGCAACTTGGCGAGACCTCGTCTCTACAGTAAATTGAAAAACTGACTGGGCATGGTAGCATGCACCTGTAGTTGTAGCTTCTTGGAAGACTGAAACAGAAGGATCATCTGAGCCCAGCAGGTCAATGCCGGGGTGGCCGTGAGTGTGCCACTGCAGTCCAGCCTGGGCGACGGAGTGAGAGTCCAGCTCAAGAAAAAGAAAAAAATCAGGCGTGCACTTAATCCAGGTGGTAAGAGAGAAGGTGACAGGATTCCCTTAGTATTTACTGAGTACCTACTATTGGCAGGCACTGCTCTGGGCACTGGGGATCATCAGCGACCCAACAGGTCAAAACCCCTTCTCTCAGGGAGCTGCCATTCCTGGGTGGGAGACGGCTAATAAGCAAAATCAGTCAGGAGAGTATATTGTATGCTGGTATCAGACGTTAGTGGGTGGCAAGTTGTACAGAGGAGATTAGGTCTGCATGCGTGGGGCGCAGCCCTAGGAAGAGGCACCGAAGAAGGTCCTGGCCTGGTCCCTCCGGCTGCACAGAGGACTCAGCCACGGGGCAGGCCAAGCACAGGGAGGGGGCTGTGGGCTTGCCCCAGCGCGTGGTGGCGTTGTCCCCTCCCACCCCGTCATGCTGAGTCCTGGCTTTCTGCTCACCAGAAGCGTCTTCCTCTCTCTCCTCTGCAGCGTCGAGGGCGAGGCCCCCAGCAGCGAGACCAGCACATCACTGGACAGCCCCTCGGCCTACCACCAGGGCCCCTTGGCACCTGGTTCCAGCCTGAGCCCAGACCACTACGAGCACACGTCAGTGGGAGCCTATGGGCTGTACTCGGGGCCGCCGGGGCAGCAGCCGCGCACACGAAGGCCCAAGCTGCAGCACTCGACCTCCATCCTGCGCAAGCAGGCCGAGGAGGAGGCCATCAAGCGCTCGCGCTCCCTGTCTGAGAGCTATGAGCTCTCCTCGGACCTGCAGGACAAGCAGGTAGGCAGGCACGCCCCCGGACCGCACAGGGGTCAGTGGCGTGGTGGCGCTTCCCGCCCCGCGCAGCCTCTCGGGGAGCGGCAGGTGGCTTTCTCCGACAGGTCGGCGTGAGGGGCATGCTTGCTAGAGATTGGGCCTCTGCCTCGGTCCGTGTCCCTCCTCTTGTAGCTCCGGGGAGCCTCTGTCCCAGCCTGGCTCTGGCGGGGATGTTTGAAAGGAGGCGGAGTGAAGGAAGCTGACTGTCTGACATTCGTTCTGGGGCACACGGAGAGCTGTCCTCCAGTGCGGCCTTTCCTTTGTCCACGTGCCACAGCCCTTCTGGCTGGAGCCTGGGAGGCCTAGCGAGCGTCTTTGAGCATCGCGGCCTACCAGGGCACATGGCTGTGTGCCTGGCCACTGAGATTCTGAGGACCCAGGGGGCGACTGTGGGAAGGAGCCCATGGGGCGAGAAGGAGGGAGGTCAGTTTGCGACAAAATCAGCACAGGCTAGGAGAAGAGCACCGAGCCCGTCTGCAGCTGGCGAGGTGGGGTTGCTCTTTACATTCTTCCTGGTTTACAGCTCTGTGTTCTCGTGGAAAGTCGCTTCATGGGACACTGTGCTCCCTCCCCCAGGGCGCCTGGTCCAGACCCACCACGAGGTGGGCGCCCGTGGGCCTGCTTGGCTGGGCTCCAGGGAGGACGGAGGGGAGGAGGGGCGTCCTTTCCCTAGCCGGCGGCAGGGAAGAGAGCGTGAGGGCTGGAGAGGCCCCTGGGAAGGAAGGCCGAGAGCGCTCACGGCCACATCCCTTGGAGCTCAGGCGCACAGCTTGCTCTTTAACGAGGAGACAAGTGAATGACAGATGGATGCACGAGGGAGTGAGTCAGGAGTGAACAAGTCCCTTGGCCATTTCAGGCTTCAGGAGAAGCCTCAAGGCTCCCAGGAAGCAGTTCTGCAGGACTGCAGGGGCAGACTGGGGACGTTGGTCGGACTCTCCCCCACTCGTGAGCGCTGCACTTTGGGCCGGCCCTCCTGACTCTCAGGTGGCTGTCTCTGCCCTGTCCTGCCCAAGGACACTTTCCCATCACCCCTGGACTCCGTGCTGCAGAAGTCGTCATGCCCTTCCTCTTGCCCACATCTGTCCTGTGGGCCTGGTCCCTGACCTTCCTGTTTGTCCTTTAAGGAGCAAACTTGGGGCCTTGCATGTCCCTGCCTTCCTGCGGCAGTGGTCGGGGCTCTGCCTGGGTGGGTCTTTTCTCCTGGCAGAGGACCCTCTGTTGGAAGCCAACATCTATAGGTCTCCGACAACCCTCCTCAGCCCCCTCCTCACTCGGATCTTGCTGCTGCCCTGAGACTTTGGACAGTCCTTCCTCAGCTCTGGTCACTCTCTCTTCTTTCACCTGTGACTTGGGGCTGACAAGGGGACCAGCAAGGGACCAGGGCGTGGCAGCAAATAGCCCCCTACACCCTATGGCACTTGGCCCATGGCCAGGCCAGCTGCAGGAAAGAACAGCCTTTGTTCCATTTGCTCATTATGTATAGATCCAGAGTGTATCACAAGCAATTTATAGGAAAAGACGTCTGTAACAGGACCATTAAAATAGAAATGAGGCCGGGTAAAGTGCCTCAAGCCTGTCATCCCAGCACATTGGAAGGCCGAGGTGAGAGGACTGCCTGAGTCTACAGGTTCAAGACCAGCCTGAGCAACTTGGCAAGGCCTCATCTTTATAATAAACTACAAAGTTAGCTGGGTGTGGTAGCGCTTGCCTGTAGTTCCGGCTACTTGGAAGGCTGAGGCGGAAGGATCGCCTGAGTCTAGCAGGGCAGCGCTGGGGGGGCTGTGAGCGTGCCACTGCACTCCAGCCTGGGTGACGGAGTGAGACCCCAACTCAGAAAAAAAATGAGAAAAGTTAAGACTCAGTAGAGGCCTGTGAAGATAATTGCATGCTTAATATGAGCCGAATGTGACTGCAGCTGTTCATTTTCATTTCATACATATTAGCCGAATGCCTACCATGCACCAGATACTGCTGGGTGCCCGGGAGTCAGGGGTGACCAAGATGAGGCCCCGACTCTTGGTACACTGTGGCTCAGGAGACAAATATGAGCAAGTTAGCAGCCCAGAGACAGTTTTCTTCCATAATGTGGCACAGCCACTACGGGTTGTAAAATTGGGGAAGGAAATGGAGCAGCTGTGGGAGGTGACCGCCTTGGGTAAGGATGGCTGGGAAGAGCTTGCTAAGGTGGCATTAGAGCTGAATGTTCCGGGAAGAGGCCAGGGCAGGTGCAAAGACCCTGAGGCAAGAATGTGCCTGGCACAGGTGGGAAGTGGCAAGGAGGGCCGGGTGAGATGCTGAGGAGGTGAGGGGGTGGAGATGCCTCCGAGGGCCACCTAGCGTTCGGTGCTCTGCCGAGCTTCCTGCTAGGGATGCAGAAGTGGCAGACTGCATGGCAGTTGCCAGAGAGTAGGAGGCCCATTTCCATGAGGAGTTTTCAAGTCTGGGCAATGCAATGTCCTACTTTAGTGAGAGGAGCCCAGTGGGTGGTCTCATGTGTTGTTCTGTCCACTGCCGTCTGCACCCTCCGGTGGTTTCCTGTCCCTGAGAGCAGGAGGCCTGGGTGGGCATCAGGTGCTGTCCCCGTGCCACTGAGAGGTGACCGTCCCAAGCTCCGCTTGGTGGAAGGTCTCTCCTCTCAGTTCCTTGTCCTTCCTGTTCAGAAACCTCCCTTCAAAGAGCAAGAGCGGCCTGCGAGGAGATCCCTAGCCATGTGCTTGGCTCCTCTGCCCATAGCAGTGTGGCCCGGGCTGGCTGCTTCCCTCCTCTGAGCCTCTCGCCCCCATCTGGGAGATACGGTAGATGTGAGGTTGTTGTGAGTATCAGACGAGGGTGGGTGGTCTCCAGGACAGAGTGGGTGAGCAGATGTCAGTGGGGTCCCTGTCCCACGTCCCAGTGAACTTTCAGTCTTGACTTGGCATTAATTCCGGCCCAGAATAAAGAATGACCGTCACGAGTTTGGGAGACAAGAACAGGCCCGCGTCAGTGTGTGTCCTCTCGGGAGAGGGACTGTGAGGGGCTTTGGTGACTAAATGTAGATCCCATTTCTGCCTTCCAGAAGTCCCGTTGTCCCCAACACACACACGACTTGGGCAGGTCTCACGAAAAGGGGGTGGCTGCCTCGCGTGGGAGGCCCAGCACTTGCAGGCCAGAAGGCCCTGCAGTGAGCTCCGGGCATGGGCTGGTGGCCCTGGTTCTTGTGACTCCTCTGCCCAGGGCTGCTGGGAGGGGCTAGGACCATGGGCCTTCTCAGGCACGCACAGAAGAGAGGGAGGGAAGAAGAGGCTTTCCAGAACCTCGCCTTGGGCCCCTTGGCCCTGCAGGCTCTTTGAGCCCTACTCACAGTCCCAAAATAGAAACTTTCTTCTTACAGATGTGGAAGTGAGGTCATCTCTTTGGATGGTGTTCAGTAACTTCAGGGCTAGAGAAAAGCAGAACCACGCTGGCCGACTCTGGGCCCGCCTGGGCTTAGAAAAGCCGTTTTGATCCTAACCCTAGTCCCAGGTCTTCCTTGTCTAGGCCACCCGTTCTCCTCCTGTGGATCCAGGAGAGCGACATGCCTGGTGTTTGAGGGACTGTCTCTGGGCCTATCTCGTGGCTGAGACTGAGATGACTTGGCCCCATGGAACCTCCAGACTCAGGTGACATGGTGACTTGCTTTACAGGGAGGGAACAGAAACATGAAGTCACTTGCCCAGGCCCTGAGCCACTCTCGCCTTCTCGGCTCTCAGCCTTGGTTGTGCTTGATGCTGTCGCTCCATTTCTGTGCCTGCACTGTCTGCTCTCTGCTCCGTGGGGGCAAAAACCCTGTGTGTCTCCCTTTCTAACTTCATGTCTGGTTGACGCCCAGCTGTGGCAGACAGGTGGGGCCAGACAGGCAGGGCGCAACACTGCGCCTCAGTACTAGGACCCGAGACTTCCACAGCCCCCTTCAGAGGCCTGCTGTGGCTTCTTGGCCTGGCTTTCTTTGATCTGCAGAGCTGGCTCCAGCTGCCGGGGTGTGTTTGCTTATTATTCGGGAGTAGGGCTCGGGGAGTGGTCTTCAGGGCTGTCCTGGGCCGTGGTGGGCCAGTGTGAGCCTTAGGACTTGGGGAGACCCACACAGCCCACTCCCCAGCCCCCTCCCTGCATGAGCCCTGCCCTTGCAGGCCACCAGCCGTGCACCCTGTCTGCAGACACATGGAGACAAGCGCTCAGGAACAGTGGTGCCCAGAGTGAGAGCCAGCTCCGCTCTGGAGGTCTTGTGAGTGTGTTGGCTGTCTTCTCTGGGCCTCAGTTTGCCCATCTGTAGAGTGGGGGGCTAGGGGGCCTCACAGACTGCAAACACCTTTCGGGAGTGTGGCTGAGGGTCTTCTGGCCATTGACCTCTGTCTCATCAAGGGCCACAGTCATGGGATATAGGTCCTAGTGCCACCCCACTTCACAGATGAGGATACTGAGGAACTGCAGGGGGCTGAGGTTTTTTAATCTCAAGTTATATAGCTAACAAGGAGCCCTGGAAGAATGAGATCCAGGCACCTGGCCTTCAAGCCTGCTTGTCAGCACAGCAACTTCACAGGCTTCCCTGACGCTCAGGGACTCCTCTGGCCACAAGAGCCATGTGGTTGATGCTGTAGAAAGGAGATGAGTCTGGCCCATGGCCCATCCTCAGCACCCAGGGCCTTGGTGAGATCTTGGGCAGGTCCCCCAACCTGTGTGCGCCTCGGGCTCCTTTTCCCTGGAGGGCCAGCCTCGCCTCTTCTGGTGTCTCCTAACATGCCTTTGTTAGACTGCATGCCACAAGACGTACCAGGACCGGGGGCCTTCATGACCCAGGATGTTTGAGAAACTGAGCACACTGTGTCCCACTAAAAGGGTTTGAGAAAGGAAACATGCTTGTGCTCGCTCGAATGTGTTTCTTCATGTTTTTCTTTTGAGTCAGAGTCTCATTCTGCTGCCCAGGCTAGAGTGCAGTGGCATGATCGCAGCTCACTGCAGCCTCAACCTCCTGGGCTCAGGTGATCCTCCCACCTCAGCCTTCTAAATAGCAGGGACTACAGGCATGCACCACCACGCCCAGCTAATTTTTTATTTTCTTTAGAGACGAGACCTCACTCTGTTGCCCAGGCTGGTCTCAAACTCCTGGGCTCAAGGGATCATCCTGCCTCGGCCTCCCAAAATAGTGGGGTTACAGATGGGAATGACCACGCCCAGCCTGGTGTTTCTCCCTCTTATTTGAGCTTGGGACCCGTGTTTCATGTCAACCCACCAGCATCCCCCAACAGTCCCTGTCACCCACTTGGGGACACACGGAGACTGTCCTCGGCCAGGCTGTTGATGCTAAGAAGCAGGAGCAGGTTTTGCTGGGCGTCTGGCTGCATCGCCTGTGGACTGGCTCGTTCTCCTCTCTTCCCCTCCAGGTGGAGATGCTAGAACGAAAGTATGGGGGGCGCCTTGTGACCCGCCATGCGGCTCGCACCATCCAGACGGCGTTCCGCCAGTACCAGATGAACAAGAACTTCGAGCGCCTTCGCAGCTCCATGTCGGAGAACCGCATGTCCCGCCGGATCGTGCTGTCCAACATGAGGATGCAGTTCTCCTTTGAGGGTCCTGAGAAAGTGCACAGCTCCTACTTTGAGGGGAAGCAGGTCTCAGTGACCAACGACGGCTCCCAGCTGGCGGCCCTGGTGCCCTCTGAGTGTGGCGACCTCAGTGAGCCGTCCACCCTCAAGTCCCCGGCCCCCTCCAGCGACTTTGCGGATGCCATCACCGAGCTGGAAGATGCCTTCTCCCGGCAGGTGAAGTCCCTGGCTGAGTCTATCGATGACGCCCTCAACTGCCGCAGCCTGCACTCCGAGGAGGCGCCGGCCTTGGAGGCAGCACGGGCCCGGGACGCCGAGCCCAAGCCTGCCCTGCACTGCATGGACCACCGCAAGCTGGACGAGATGACAGCTTCATACAGTGACGTCACCCTGTACATCGACGAGGAGGAGCTGTCGCCCCCGCTGCCCCTCGCTCAGATGGGGGACCGGCCGTCCAGCACCGAGTCGGACCTGCGGCTGCGGGTCGCCGGCCCAGCCCAGGACTACTGGGCCCTGGCCCACAAGGAGGACAAGGCCGACACAGATACGAGCTGCCGGAGCACACCGTCGCTGGAGAGGCAGGAGCAGCGGCTGAGGGTGGAGCATCTCCCGCTGCTCACCATCGAGCCACCCAGCGACAGCTCTGTGGACCTCAGCGACCGCTCAGACCGCGGCTCCCTCAAGAGGCAGAGCGCCTACGAGCGCAGCCTCGGCGGAGCGCAGGGCAGCCCCAAGCACGGCCCCCACAGCGCTGCCCTCCCCCGGGAGGAGCCTGAGTTGCGGCCCCGGCCGCCCCGGCCCCTGGACAGCCACCTGGCCATCAACGGCTCGGCCAACCGGCAGAGCAAGTCTGAGTCCGACTACTCAGACGGGGACAACGACAGCATCAACAGCACATCCAACTCCAACGACACCATCAACTGCAGCTCCGAGTCATCCTCGCGCGACAGCCTGCGGGAGCAGACGCTCAGCAAGCAGACCTACCACAAGGAGACACGCAACAGCTGGGACTCGCCCGCCTTCAGCAACGATGTCATCCGCAAGAGGCACTACCGCATCGGCCTGAACCTCTTCAACAAGTGAGTGCCCACGGCGGCCTTGTCCCCAGGCGCCCCTGGGGAGGAACAGGCGGGCGGCGGCTGTGGCAGCACGGTGCCTCTGCGGGAGGGCAGGGCCGCGTCCTCCTGCACGGCTGCCTCCTGCCTGTCCCACGCTGAGTTGGAGGGTCGGAGTGGTTGTGCGTCGGCAGGTGAGAGCCACGCGAGGGCTGTGGCAGGCGATTCCACCTGCGAGCGGAGGCCCTCCTGAGGGCTGCGGTCCCAGGGGTCGCAGGCGGCAGGGGGGGAGTGGAGGGTTTTCTGGGGTGAGGCAACTCAAGAGAAGGCGTCAGCCCCTGGTCCCGGGCCCTGTCCCTCGCCTCACCTCCGAGTCTGCCACAGCCATAGACATCGGGCTCAGGAGTGACACCGGGCACAGGCCTTTGAACAGGGACATGCCAGGCCGTGCCTGGGCAGGGAGGTCCGGGGCAGTGGGAGGCCAGACCTGCAGGTGTGTTGGGGAGGGTCTGGGGGAGACATAGGTGAGACCTGGCGCCGTGTCTGGCGAGGGGACGCTCCAGGGGCAGACACAGACCGGAGCTAAGGCTGTGTCTGTGGGTACTCAGGGGCAGGTTCAGGACAGACCTGGTGCTGTGGCTGAGGGAAAGGGGAGTCAGGTCTTGGAGAGCGGTGTGGATTGGGCTCTTAGAGCGTCTGCTCCCTGAGGGGTCCTGGAAAGTGCAGGCAGGCAGGCCTGAGAGCAGGTCTAAGAAGGGGTGGGTATTTCAGGCAGCCTGTTCTGTTTTTTTTAAGTTGGACTCTCACTCCATCACCCAGGCTGGGGTACAGTGGCACGCTCCCAGCCACCGCAGCCTCGACCTGCTGGACTCCGGCGGTTCTTCTGCCTCAGCTTTCCAAGTAGCTGGAACTACAGGCACGCACTACCACTCCTGGCTATTTTTTGGATTTATTGTAGTCGAGGTCTCAAACCCCTGAGCTCAGGCAGTCTTCTTGCTTCTGCCTCCTGAAGTGCTGGGGTTCCAGGCTTGAGACTCCGCCTGGCTAAAGCAGCCTATTCTTAGCACAGCCGAAAATAGCAAGAGAAGGGGGAAGAGGGTGAGCACTCTCTCTAGGGATGTCGCCAAGCTTGTTGAACCTGAGACTTCGTGAAATTTCCGCCCCAGGGCCTCTGGGATTGGGACCATTGGATGCTAGCCTGGCGCCAGCTCCCCTGGGGACTGTGGACGGGGGAGACATGGCCAGCCTGCCTGAGGGTTCCTGACACACACCCCGGGAGCCAGGGGCAGAAACGGTTTTCCCAGAAGGTCAGACTTGGTAGTGAATGGCACTGCAGGATCCGGCCACCCCAAGGCCCCTGCCTGGGCTACACGTCAGCTTCCTTTTCTCCTGGAGTGGGGAGGCAGGAGCACTTACTTCTGAGCCATTCCTGGGACACATGGAAGTGCTGTCTGGGGGTGTCAGAGAGGCCTGCTCAGGAAGCGCCTCCAGCGAGTGGCATAGTCACTCAGACCCAGCTGCGGGCTGGGGGTCATGAGTCCTTGTTCAGCTAGAAGCTAAGAGTCTTGGCCATCTCATGTCCTCCAGCCGTGCTTTCTCCAGAGATGATATGCCCGTGGCCTGCTGCACATCAGGGCAGCCCCACCACTGCGCGAGCCATGGCACGCTGACCACTCGAGGCCTGTGTCCTGCTCGGCCCATTCTGACTCGGTCCCCAAAGCCTGCCCCACTGCCCAGCTTCAGAGCCATCTCTAGACCCGGGCCCAGGTGCCCTAGGAGAACGGGAGCCCTCACTCGGTGAGCAGGTGGGGGCCAGGACACACAGCCTCCCTTAACCAGCCGGCTCTGGGTGGTGTAGTTTCTCCTCCCTCTCCAGTTTTCAGTTGCACACGTGACACGTGCATGCCTTCTGCACAGAAGACACGAGCCTTCCGGCTGAGGGTGGCCTCCTTCACTCCTGGCGTTCTGCGCTCTCTCCTTCCCAGTCCTCTCTCCTGTACAGCTGTGTGTGCCCTTGGGGCTGTGGACCGGGGCCTGGCACCCGTCTTCGAACCCTGGCCCTCCCGCTCTGTCTATTTGTCCTCGGGCAGCGTGTCCGCCGGCGTAGGGTCCCTGTCTGAAGGAGGCTGATACCACAGGCGGTGAGGGAAGAGCCAGCAGGCGTGGGGTGCCGGGGGCAGGACCCTGCACCGAGGAAGGGCTGGGTGTGCACGAGCTGCTGTCTGGTCCTGGCTGACGTCGCTGGGGCCGAGACCCTGGGATGTTGTCTGATGGCTTTAGCTGACCATCCACATAGTCCACCCTGATTCTGCCACCTGTAGTTCACAGTCTGCAGGCCAGTCACTCTTCCACGGTTACCAGGGAAGCCAAGTGGCCATGGCCATAGCAGTGTCTTGCCTGCTTTGACAGTGGGTAGAATCCCTCGCCCCAGCGGGTCTCCAGGTGAGAGAGCTAGAAATGGGGTTGTTGGGTCTCAGGCCTGCTTTTTTTTTTTTTTTTTGAGTTGGAGTCTCACTCCTTTGCCCAGACTGGAGTGCAGTGGCCGCTCCCGGCCATCGCAGCCTCGACCTGCTGTGCTCCAGCGATCCTTCCGCCTCAGCCTTCTGAGTAGCCGGAATTACAGGTACGCGCTACCACGCCCGGCTGATTTTTTGATTTATTGTAGAGATGAGATCTCGCTGCCCAGGCGGGTCTCGAACCCGTGGGCTCAGGCCATCCCCTCACTTCAGCCTCCCAAGGCGCAGGATTACAGGCTGAGCCACTGAGCCTGGCTCAGCCATGCTTTTACTTGGAGTAAGACGGTGCCTCCCTTTCCCCTTCCCAGGTCCGAGCCCCGAGCACCTGCCTCCCCTCTCCCGTGTGGCTTTTCCTGGGGGCGGTGTGTCCCCTCATGCCACTGTCACCCTCCTCCACTGCCCCCACCTCCACCCACACTCCCTGTCCGCCCGGCCCCCGGGACAGCTCCAGCAGGGAGATTGCCCCGCACAGGCCTGTCTGGCAGGACAGGATCCCAACGATGGACCCGAAGTGGAAGGGCCAGCAGCTAGGGGAGAGGAAGAGCAGATATGACGCCTGAGAAGGCGAAGGGGCTGTGACCCGGGGGCTGCTGAGGGCCTGCGGAGGTCTGCTCGGCGTCCAGGTGCCTCTCCCAGCATCTGCTCACTCCCCCCGGGCCCCGATGACAGCTGCACATCCGGTCTGGCTGGTGGCGCTGGGAGGAGTGCCGTCCAGGAGCTGGAGGCTGGAGGCTTTCAGTTCCGGCTCTGCCACTCGTCAGCTCCCCAAGCTCTCTGCACTTTGCTGGCTGCGCTGGAAGATGGGTGCGCGGCCCTTGCCCCCAGGACTTGGGGAGCATCAGAGCTGTGGGGAAAGAGCCCTTCTCAGAGCCTGTTGTCCCAGGACGTGCTTGTGGTCAGCGACTGTCTGGCCAGCCATGGCTTCTGAGACCAGAGTGAGTGCCAAGGGAAGGGGCCTTCCGGGCCGTGGGCTTCAGGAGGGCCCAGGCAGGCAGTGTGGCGGCTCCAGCAGCCACATGTCGTGAGCATGGCTGACCCTGCTGCTCCCTAGGTTGATCGTGGCTAACCCAGGCTCTCCTGTGGGGGGTGGGGCACTGTTAGGGAGCCCACTTTACAGGTGAGTAGACTGAGGCTCCAAGAGGATAGCTTGTCCAAGGCGGCACAGCTGCCGGGTGACTCAGCAGGGCGTCACACCCCAGCCCCCAGGCTCTGCGCACATGCTGTTAAGATCTGCCGTGTGGGAACAGCTACTGCAAGTGTAGCCCTGGGCGCCCCCGCTCCTCGCTCAGTGACAGATCTGTGAAGAGGGTCCAAGAGGCGGAGCCACACACGGCGGGAGGCCACGCCACCCTGGAGCAGCGATCCTGTGGCGACGCTGCAGGGAGCTGGGGCCAGTGCCCGGCAGGGGCCTCACGGAGGCTGTCGCCTCCTTGCCCACAGAGGGCAGCGGCATCCCCCGCGTTCCCTGCTCCTGCTCCCCGTGCACGCACCGGGTGCTCGCCTCGCCGTATCTGCCTCCTCTCTGTCTTGGGCCTCTCACTCTCCTTTTGGCCTGGGCCCTGGCGTCCTTGTCCCAGCGGGGCCAGGCCAGACCTCCTCCATCTCTGGAAGAGTGTTCGTAGCCCAGAGCCACCTCTCGATGACATGGCATCCTCAGCAGGCAGTGGGCATCTCAGCTCGGGAGTGTGGAGGCAGGGCCTTGGCGAGCACTTGGTGTGTCAGTGTGGCTGGGCTCCTGGCTGGGCTGGGAGCTGTTCCTGGGGCCCCCGGGGCCCCTTCCGGCCCAGAGACCCGTGCTGGCAGGCGGTGCCCCTCTGAGAGCCAGGCCTCCCCCCCAGCTCCTGGCCCCTGGGGTCCCCCAGCCACGAGTGCCGTCCTGCCTCCTGGCGTGACTGCGGGAGGAAGGGAGGGAGGCCGGGCGCACCAGGGAAGCCTCGGGGCGCGCTGTGGCTCCACCCCTCTGGCACCCCCCTACCTGCAAGGAGATGGTCCCGAGGCTGCCAGGCCTGTCCAGCCTCTCTCGGGAGGTGGCTCCCGATTTGCCAACTCCAAGTCCACACTCCTTGTGTGGAGCGCGTCTGTCGCCATTAATAAAAAGGGCGGCAGGGAGAGCCAACCTGTGTAGCCCTCGCAAGAAGGGTCGGGGCCGTGCTAAGCCCCACATGCCCACCCGTCCTCTCACTGTGACCCTTGGAAGTGTGGGTGGGGGCAGCCAGGCTCAGAGCAGGCGGGGCAGGAGCCCGCGGCCAGGGCCTCAGCGGCTGTGGCCCAAAGCATGTGTTGTGCTGCTTCGAGGGCTGGTAGAGCCGACAGTTCAAAAGATGGCTCTCTCCAGAGCACTTTGTGCTGGGTCTTTGGAGGCTGGGTCCTGTTCTCCCAGACATAGGTCATGGTGGCTTGGAGTCTCCAGCACCCCCAGAGGCTCAGGGTGCCGAACCCCTCGGAGGGGAAGATGGTGCCAAGGAGGGCCCACAGAGTGCTAGCCACACTTTGGAGGGTGTTTCTCCT